TTGAAATGAGTTGGTTCTCCTTTCTCTCTAATTACAAGCTCCTTGAAGACAAGTTGGACTGCTCTGTCACATAAAATCCTCCTCCCCTCTCCCCCAAGCTCTTGGGATTATGCCAACAGGCTAAAAATCCTGCAGGTTCTCCAAGCCACTTAAGAAGGATTCAGTCTGGGGTCAGCTCTGTAGAGGGCAGCATCTTAGGTGAGAGCAGGCTCACCTTACATCTTCAGGTTGGCCTCACTCCAGATAAGGGAAATTACTATTTTAGGCTAAGGAGCCAGATAGACTCAGGACGATGGACAATGTAGCTTCCCTTTCCCACTCAGGGAAGTCAGTTCTCAGGGCTAACTGATCTACCCATTCTCCCCCTGACTACCCTCCAGTTCCCCTCTGATAATCACTAACTTGTGGTGTAGTTACCAAGTTACTTGAGCAAGACGGGTGTTTGCAACTGCTCCAGTGTGGGGAGTGCTTTCCAGGCATGGTGGCATGAGAAAGGAGGGGATCAGGTTGGGAGAAAACTCCTTGGTGAGCCCCAGGTCCTTGAGACTTCTGCTCTCAAGGGCCTCCTGGTGCTCCATGTCCAGTGATAGCCTGTCCTTGTCACTCACCACTCATCCAAAAGTCATCAGACTGGGCCTCCCTGGTGGCGCAGCGGTTGAGCGCTGGGTTGTGAAGCTGCCCGCGGCCTCTGCGGCGCCGGTTCGATCCCCGGCTGCTCCCCGGCCACCGGAGGAGGGTCCCACATGGCGCGCAGACCTCTCCTGCCGCCCGCTGCTCCCCTCAGCAGTGTGCTTTGGTCCTTCTGCCTGCTCTGCTCCCCGCTCTGGCTCTGGTGAATTCTCTCACCCTCCCGCGCTTCTGACTGTACCCAGTGCATGTATAAACAAAACAAACAAACAAACAAATAAATAAAAAAACATGCCTCTATAATAAAAAAAAAAAAAACTTTAAAAAAAAAAAAAGTCATCAGACTGCCCAGAGGTGGACAGTCAGGCTGTTCTGTAACCAAGCTGGGTGGCTGAGACCAGACCATGGGGAGCATGGTCCTTTGTTGGAGCCACTTGCACTCCTGCTCTCACTCCTCTTGTCCAGAAATACCAAGATCCTGGTTCCACATTAGTTCCAGAAACTTCTAAATCAGACAATTTATTCCTGTTCTGACCACCCTGTGGGAATAGGAGGGTGTTCTTCCTGTGGCATGTGATGAATCGCCGGGTACTTCATTAGTCACAAGCTCGGGGATGAGTTTTCTATGGGAATTTTCATTCTGGGTGGATGACAAGGACAGCCAGCAGCCTCTCTTCTTCTCCCTGTGATATAGTCGTCCACCTACTACCCCTGTCAAGCTGGGCAGAGCCATGACATGCCCTCGCCTTTACCTTGGATGGCATACATCTCGTTCCCCATCAGAAAATCAAAGGAATCTGTGACTTCAGCTCCTGCCCAGAGTGAACCCAGTTGCTATGGAAACCTGATGCATTTCTCTATTGTAGGGTGGCTTTCATTTTGTATTTGAAGAGTTGGGCCAGGCAGTCATGTTACCTTGGCCTGGCCTGGCCTGTCAGCGGTTAGGAACAAGGAGCTCCCTGCACAGCCATTCGGTCTCTCTAACTGATGGGGGAGAAATCCCAGCTCAGCCACCCAGAGAGGGTGGCAATGTCGCTGAGTGCCATGCTGGCATCCCCTCCCGTTTGTAGATTGCACCTCCTAGTTAGAGCCTCACAGGCTGAGGTCCCGTCCTCAGCATCTTGCTCCTTCTACTTCTCCATCCTGATACTCACCATGAGGCCATGCCCAGAGCTGCTTTGTTCAACCTTGAGTCCCCAGGATCCTAGCAGATAGGGGCCTTCATCACACACATAAAAAACAACAACAACGATTTATTTTTGTGCCATTGACCCTTGAATAACACGGGTTTAAACTGTGTGGATTCACTTACATATGGATTTTCTTGTAAACAAATGACAAACTTGCAGTGTCAATAAATGTAGCACAGTACTGAAAACATATTTGTTTTCTTCCTTATGATATTCTTTTTTTAAAAAAAAGATTTATTTATTTATTTATACAAGCACTGGGTACAGTCAGAAGCACGGGAGGGTGAGAGAATTCACCAGAGCCAGAGCAGGGAACAGAACAGGCAGACCGACGAAACACACTGCTGAGGGGAGCAGCGGGAGCGGCAGGAGAGGTCTGTGCGCCATGTGCGACCCTCGCCAGAGGCCAGGGATCGAACTGGCACTGCAGAGGCTGTGGGCAGCTTCGCAGCCCAGCGCTCAACCGCTGCGCCACCAGGGAGGCCCCCTTATGATATTCTTAGAACGTTTTCATTTGTCTAGCTTACTTTATTGTAAGAATCAATTTACTGTAAGACTCTATCTTACAGTGTTGTACATATGACATACAAAATATACTCATTGTCTATGTTATCTGTAAGGCATCCCGTCAGTAGCAGGCTGTTAGTACTTAATTTAAAGGTTACAAGCAGTTATATGCATTTATTGGACTGCTCAGGGGGGTTGGCGCCCCTAAGCCCTGCGTTGTTCCAGCATGAACTCTGGTTTACAAAGCTCTTTTCAATGGGCCCTTTACAAGCTCATTATCTCCTTTACTCCCCATTATAGCTCCAAGGTTCAGGGCAGGAAGAAGGGGAAACTGAGGTTCATGGGCTTTGCTTTCCCCTGTGGGCCCCCAGGTGTGGGAGATGTGGCTTTTCCTCCTGGCTAGTTGGTTATGAGAAGATGACAAACTGTAGGAGGAACAAAGAGGAGGGAAAGGGGCAGGATGCTTGTTGACTATACAGTAGAAGGTTCCTTTGACTCAGACCCTGAGAAAACAGAGAGACAGAGTAAAGGGCCCCCTCAGTCCCTAATCTCCCTGTGAAGTGGGGATAAATTGGGGGCAGGGAGAGGAGGAAATCTCAGTTCACTCTTTGGCTAACACCCCAATCCATTCTGACCAGACCTCCCTGTTACTCCCTCTGTGCTGGGGGTGTTTTCCAGGGTAAATAAAACTTCTGCCCAACATTAATTTTTAATTTAGCCTAACTTCCATGTGAACATGGATCCTTCCTGGGATTTCCAGGGTGCTCTCCTGGCTAACATGTACCGATGCTGTGACCTCTCTAGGGCACCAGTTCATGCTAGGTTCCCGGACCTGGTTAGGGCGGCATGAGTAGCCTGACTGAGTACCCCTCTCTGTGGCCCTGGAACAGACACATTGCAGGGCAGGTCTTGAGTAGGGGTGTGTGTGGAACCAAATTGTTACGCGCTTGACTATTGTTTTGCCATTTTGTGTATATAACCGCCATTTTAGAATTTTGGGTTTAAGTTTCGCTTTCCTGGAAGATGATTCCCGGAAAATGATGCAACACTCAAAAAATGTGTCTCATGCTCTACCAACTGAGCTAGCCGGGCGCCCAATATCAAAGGTCTCAGACCATTCTTGTGTCCGCTGATAAGAAAGCAACCAATTAAGGAAACCGCGGCATCCCCAAACCATCTGTTTGAATTTTGAATTGCGCCCGCGCCAAAAATGCCTTTTAGTAGTCAATGAGTAATTGCCAGCTTGTTTTAAAATTTAAGCTTGCTTGTAACCCTATAAATACCTTCCCATTTCCCCAGTTCGGGGCTCTCGCCATCCACCGCTGCATCGGTGAGTGTCATGAGTCCAGACTCGGGTCTGTATTAAACTCCCTTTTGTGCTTGCATCAGCTGTCCTTGATTTCTTGGGGGCTGCGTTCATTGTTCGCGGGCACAACAGTGTGCGCATGAGCCAGCTGAGACAGAGTGATAGCCAGAGCTGCTGGAAGGCCAAGGCCCCAGCCTACGGTGCCAAGAAATGCCTCCACTCACTGCCTCTGAGAAAGGAGGTGCACTTCTGCCCAGGATAGCCCCACACTCACACAGATCTCATGAGTAATTGCCAGCTTGTTTTAAAATTTAAGCTTGCTTAAATCTCAGATCTCATCCTCTAGGCATCAGAACCTTAGGCATGTCAAAGCTGGGTGGGATCTTAAAGCCTCTCATTTCACAGAAATGGAAAGTGGGGCCACAAAGGGGAAGGATTTGAGGTCCCTTTCATAGACATCAAGCATGGGTGGGAACCCCCAGTGGAACCTCCTTGAGAACAAAGTTTGGATCTTCCGTGTGTGTGAACTCCAAGTCTGAACCTGAGCAGGATACACAACAGAGGCTTGTTTCAGCTGCTTTGCTCATCCCCAAGGCGTGGCAGTGCGAATCTCAGCTTTGCAGAAGGTTAAGGCTGAAAGGGAGCATAGACATCACCAAGTCCAACCTTCATTTTAGGGAAGACTAAGACCCCTTCCATTAATGCTCAAAGTAAGAGTAACGGATTCTTACCATGGGCTGTGTCAGGCAGGATTCTCTGCACTCCACTACACTAACCCAGGCTGTTCTCGAGACATCTGTGCAGCAGGGATTACCATCATCCCCACATGAGGAAACAGAAGGACAGAGAGGTTCAGTAAAGTACCCAAATCACAGAGCCAGTTAGTGTTAGGGGCAACATCCAGCCATAGCAGTCTGGCTTGTGGGCTCACCCCATTACGCCCAGCAAGGCTGTCTGGGGCCTGAGCACCAGCCAACACCATGGGTCCCTTCTCTGACTGCAGCAGGAAGCTGTGCCTGGCAGCCCACTTGCATAGGAAACAATCTCATGTGCCCTTCAGGACTTAGTTCAGAACCCGGCGCGGGTCAGGGACCTGTTTCTAACACAGACGAGCTCTTCTTCCTCATCATGAAGCAACCCGACTGGGTGTGCCTGCAAACAGGAAGGGCCCTTGGGAAGCAATCAGCAATTTGCAGAAAATGGAGGCCTAGAGGGCAGTGTGTCTTAGCCAGGTCTCCCCCACTCTGTTGGCAGAACTCGCTCCGCACTAGCAAGGCCTCCCACGAGGCCCTGCCCTGGTTCAGCCTTGCCGCCCTCACGCAGTGGGGGTTCAGTTCTGGCCACACTAACGGACTCTCTGTTCCCGCCAGCTCTTCGTGATCGACAATGGTGCGGACGACTGGCGGATAGCCATGACCTACGAACGCATCCTCTACATCAGCCTGGAGATGCTGGTGTGCGCCATCCACCCCATCCCCGGTGAATACAAGTTCTTCTGGACGGCGCGCCTGGCCTTCTCCTACACCCCCTCGCGGGCGGAGGCCGACGTGGACATCATCCTGTCCATCCCCATGTTCCTGCGCCTGTACCTGATCGCCCGCGTCATGCTGCTTCACAGCAAGCTCTTCACCGATGCCTCCTCCCGCAGCATCGGGGCCCTCAACAAGATCAACTTCAACACCCGCTTCGTCATGAAGACCCTCATGACCATCTGCCCCGGCACCGTGCTGCTGGTGTTCAGCATCTCGCTCTGGATCATCGCCGCCTGGACGGTCCGCGTGTGTGAAAGGTATTCCCGCAGCCTTGCTGCGCTGGGGTGGGGGGACAGGAGGAGAGCAGGGGGCCGGGATGCCGACGGAGGAGGTCTGCTTAGGAGCCTGGCGTGTCCCCAAACACCTCAAAGGCTGAAACGGAAAAGGGGAGGCAGGAGCTGGGGCGAATAGGAGCTGCAACGGTGGAACGTTGGAACCAAGGTAAGCTGGGAAGAACGCGTTTCTGGTATTCCCCCGTCTTCCACTCTCTTGGGAAGCTAGTGTATGGAAGCATCTGTTAACCTTTTCTCGTGTATAACACTGCACTTTCTGTATTCCCTCTCCCTCCTGGAGAGGAAGGATGCTCACTAACATTTCGAAGGCTCCGAGAAGACCTGCAATAATGAAACTGGTTGCATTTTGTTTAGTCCAGATTTTCCCAAAAGTGTCAGTGCACTGACCCTTTTCCTTGTACAGCGCTATGGATGCCTGGACACTCTAGTTTGGTGCACAGACCAGCAACAGCAACCTCACTGGGAACTTGTTAGAGTGCAGAATCGCAGGCCTCTCCTAGGAACTACTGAATAGGATTTGCATTTTACAGTGTCACCCGTGATTTGTATGCCCCTTAATGCACTATACCCATGGAGCACCATTTGGAAAACATCGAGGTGGTTGGTGGCTTAGAAGCGGCTGGTGGGAGAAAAGGGCCCAGTAAATTTGGGGCTCTAACACTTGATGCCAGCCTTTTCTACCCATCATCAATGAGTCTCAAGGGTGAGACTGTTGCCACAGCCTTCCTCTGACACCCTCAAGCTGCCCTGGGTGACTCTTCCCCCCTTCAAGCTGGCCCTGGGTGCTCATTTTAATGTGATTCCACATGCGGAGTCTGAATACTTTGGTTGGAAACTGGGATTCTGCCCCTAAGTATCTGTGAGACTTGGACAACACACTTAACCTCTCCGGGTTTCGGTGTACTTTCTTATTTATTTATTTATTGCATCAAAGAACTGGGATGTAGGCCAGAGGTGCGTGAGGAGAGAGGATTCACCAGAGGCAGAGTGGGGAGCAGAACAGGTGGATTGACTGAAATACACTGCTGAGGGGAGACAGGAGAGGTCTGCTGTGCCATGTGGGGTAGCTCCATGGACAGAATGAAACTCAGGCCATAATGGTGATGGCGCTGAGACTTAACCCCTAGGCCACCAGGGAGGGAGGCCCTGTCCCCTCATTTTAAAATGAGGATCTCTTGAGAGAGAAGGAAGAAGTATTCATTTGAGACAGATTATTTTTACAGTCATTACAGTTTTTTTACAGTTTTTTTTTTTTTTTTATGTTGAGGGATCTGGTCAAGCATCCCGTGTAAATGACATGGATCCCAGCACTCACCCTTCGTTTATTAGCACCCTTGTATTGGTGGATCTTCCACACACCTGCGTCCCAACCGAGGGAACGCTGGAAAATAAGTCTGGAGAGGGTTAGCTTAAGAACATCTCCCATGGGTACGTTGGACCAGATTTCCTACCTATTTTGAGATGTTCTATTTGCAGACATTTCTTTGTGGTATTTGGCCAGCAGGTACACGGTCCAACTAAGAGCATTCGGCTGCAGCAGCTGGGCCTTAAGGATGGCTGGGCCTGTCTCTGAGGACCAGTACAGTTCTGGGAGATGCTTCTTAGCCACAAAGCTCCAGGGACACACCATAACACCTACTTAGACCCCCACCGTCACTCAGCAGCTGGCACAGCTACATCTGCTCTAAGCAGGACCCCATTCCATGCTGCTTCCTGAACCTTCTCTGTTAACTGACACTATCTGCAGTGGATGAAACATGTACTTGGGTTCCAACCCCAAGCCCCTCCCAGTACTCTTAGCTGAGCAACGTCATGTAGGTCACATAGCCTCTCTGGGCCTCATGTTGTCCCTCTGTGAGCTAAGGATAACAATATCTGCTTTTACAGGATTTGTTGTTAAAGCCAACAGATAGTGTGAGTGGAGACTGTACACAGCCATACAATGAGACTGGAAATTAATAATAATTACAGAAAGCCCTTCATGTCCTTGGAACTTTATGACTGCCTTCTTATCATTAGTACAGACCAACTCCTACCTTAGGTAGACCTGTGTTTCCCTGTTTCCTTGCTAATTGTTTGAAGCAAAGTCTCCTAAAATAAGAATAATAGAATTTGCATAACGCTTTAAGATGTTTGAAATATTCCATGTCCTTAAATCAACCCTGTTTGGACATGGCTGGTCACCCCATTTTTCAGATGAGCGAATGGACTGAATATGGAACAAAGTACTTGCAAGTGAGCTTCATTGTTTATTGAATCTTTCACAAGTATAAGTGACTATTTTTTTTTTAGTGGAAAATAAGCACGCTTCAAAGCACACAGTTTGCAAGGTGCTCTGTTGCTCTTTATTCTCCATTGAGCGGCGCTCCAAGGCTGGGCCACCCTACTCCGGCAGAGCACCAAACCTTTCTCTGCAGAAATGACCTTCCAGCCCCAGCAGGAGTCCAAGGCAAAGGCCCAGAGAAACAGCAAGCAAAGCAGTTCTCCTAAGGTCCCCCTCCTCTTGTGCTTTGGCCCTTTGGGCAGAGGCTCCTGCTCAGATCTGGTGCGAGGGGTGTTCAGCACAGGGGATGTCACCATTGCTCCTGTTCCTTGGAGGCTGGCCCTGTGCCAGGTCTATGGGAAAGGCTTCATAGATGTCATCTGTCTCTAGACCTATGAGAGAGGCACCCCGACTCTCCCCATTTACAGTTGTGGAAACTGACAGAAAGTAGCAATCCTGGGGCCACAGCTTTAAAAGTGGAGCCAGAATTTGAAATTGATTCTGACTCTGAACTTCATGTTTGTCTCCCCATGTCAAGCCAAAACCTGCACTAACAAGGAGACGGTGGCCTAGACTCTCCTGGTGGCTTTCCTGATCTGAGAGTCTCAAAGCCACGGAGATTGACACTTGCTGTTCTGCCTGCCTCCCAGGTCTGTGCTCATCAGCAGCTTATCGTACTGTCTTCAGGCAGGACTGACTTCATGTTAATGCAAACATACCTGCGTGTAGCAGATGCCAGATGTGCTACCCCAATGCCCACTCCTCCCCCCATCCTCGGCCCAGGCTCTCTTTCCCTCAGCTGGTCTTGTGTAGCGGAGGCAGGGCCCCTCTCCAAGAATGGCCCTGGCTGAAGGGAGTTGCCTCAGCACAGGTCAAGCTCAGCCCCCTGTCTGGGGGCAGCAAGGATCGGATGACTTGTCTGTGTAGGAGTTTAAAGACCCAGCAGGACAGCTCTCACTGGGACTCCAGGCACCCAGGCTCCGAGGGGGCTTCGCAGGAGGCCCCCTTTGTGACTTTGCAGTGCTTTCTTCTTCTCCTCTTGCCCAGCCTACTTCCCTCAGCTGAGCCTGAGAGCATCCCTGCAAAGCCTCCCGCACTCAAACCTCAGTGTCTCAGAGACTCCCAGGAACATGATCTACAGAACTGAAAATATTTGTGAATAAGTATGTTTTTTCCTAATCAGGCAAAGTACTTCTCTTCACAAGAACAAGCAATTTCTTAGGGAATCAAGCTTAAATTATAATTGTCCTTTCCCAATGTCAAATAATAAGTAAGACTGGCAGAGGCAGTTGTACGGACACTGGAACCAGGGGCTGCTTTGGGGCCCGCAGGGTCAGACAAGGATGGGAAGGTGCTGTGGGCAAGCTGGTCCCTCCCAGCCTAAGAGGATCACCCGTCCCCTTAGACAACAGAAGGTAAATGACTTGTACAAGGTCACAGAGGAGCCTGACAGTTCTAGAAAAATTCCTGCCTCTGATGCCCAGAGTGGGGCTTGTTCACATTCCAGGTGGCTTCCATCAGCCCGGACTTATCTCTGGTTGTATACACATACTTCTGAAGTTGCTATGGAAATCCCTCCTCAGCAAGACACATTTTAAAAGACATATCTCATATCTGGGGTTGACTTTTATGTGACCATAAAGGTTTTTCATATTTCTTCCTCCTGAGGAGGGAGAGGGAGTTAGTGATCACCTAGGACAGCCTGCAACGGCGGGGGAGGGGCCGGCCTAGCTGGCAGGAGGGCAGAGACAACAGCGGACTTATTTTCCTTGGGCCCCAGCAAGGCATTACATCATAGGTTCTGAGGCTGACAGTTGTGGCACTCGGCATTCTCTGGGATTCTCCTGGCTGTGTGCCCACCTCCCACAGGCCTCCCAGAGCCCATCTGAGGAAGCTCCTCATTAAACACTGTCACATGCCAGGCAGCCTTGCTGGTGGAGAGACCATCCGAGGCCCCCGGGACAAACGGCAGCAGGTTGGGAAGTGGGCTTTCCTGGCATGCCTGAGCGGAGGCCTGCCAGCTCGCATTGGGATGTTTATCTCCCTGGGAAGAGCTGCAGGGCCTCCCATCACAGTGATGGAGTGGGCTGTCTTGTGATCCCCAGCCAGGTTTTGTAAATGACCTTCCAGCCACTTGAATGGACTGACTCCCTTTGGGCGCTTCTCTCCTGAGGCACCAGGTTCTGCTCACAGGCTGGCTTAGGTATTTGATAGTGATGGTGTGAATTTCCAGCTATCATGACATATTGATATTTTAATGAGAAATTTGGTTCAGAGACCTGGCTCTGGAATGGGAGGAAAATAATCATCGGGCCATTCTCTGACTAAAACAGAGCTACCTTCCCATTGTAAAAAAGAGAAAAAGCCTTCCTCCCTCCCTCTTCTCTGCCCATCTTAGACATCCAGGTCTGCACCAGCCAGAGTTCAGGGAGCGCCAACAGTTCCCTCCTGCCCCACCCCATCTCTTTCCCACAACCTCCACCAACTCTGGCAGGGGACCTCAATCTAAGAAAGAGCTGAGAGCAATGGGGCACAGGCCGTGGTTTCCCAGGCCGTGACTCCTCACGGGCCCCTTCCATTTGCGGCACAACCTCCAACATGGAATAGCACAACCTCCAACATGGAATAGCATAGCAGCAACTGGGGTGACGGGAAGAAGTGCCAGAACTTGTACTCGTAGTTATTTTTATCTAAAAAACCT